ACGGCATGCATGATGTCACAAATCTTTACTCTGATTGGACGAAATAACGGAATTGAATAAAAACCAACAAAAAAAATATATGCTACAATAAAAGAAAAACATAACGGACATAAAATAAAACTTAAAAATGAAATTATCCAGATAAATAAATTCAGGTAAAGTACCCTAAGGTGTCATTGTCACTACTGTCAAATTGTTTACATTTTGTAGGCTTAGCCTTTAATACACGAATAGGTAAATATCACTGACATGACCATTAGATCTACCAGAGATTTTGTAGGCTTAGCCTTTAAAACATGAGTAGGTAAATATCACTGACATGTTCATTAGATCTACCAGAGATTTTGTAGGCTTAGCGTTTAAAACATGAGTAGGTAAATATCACTGACATGTTCATTAGATCTACCAGAGATTTTGTAGGCTTAGCCTTTAAAACATGAGTAGGTAAATATCACTGACATGTTCATTAGATCTACCAGGTCAATTAGCTCAGTGCTATAAATTATATCTTATCGACTAAAACTTCGAAGGCGTAATAATAATCTCAAATAGTACAAAATAATCACTACAAACAAGTAAAAGTCTGAAATGGCCTATATCTGTACTCGACTGTACTGATTTGTACTCGACCAGTCTGAGATGGTCTGAATTTTACTTAATATTACTCGACCCAGTCTTAACCATACTCGACTGTACTGATTTTTACTTAACCTTTATCTTTGCTATTGAAAATAGTCTGAACCATTACTCGACCAGTCTGAAACAGTCTTAACCCATTCTCGACCTGTACTCGACCAATACTTGACCAGCTCTCGACCTATTTTTTCAGTCTGAACCATACTCGACCAAAGGTCTGAACAATACTCGACCAGTCTGCACCATACTCAACCAAATAATCTCTACTTTTTATAATTTTAATTGTTAAAATAACTTTCTTTTTAACTGACATGACAACAGCCACAATAAAATAAAGATATATATATATATAAAACAGAGTTTTAGATCCTTACACAATTCTCAGATTTATCAAATTGAGATAGTTAAATTAAGTTTTAAAGTTTGAGTCTTATTAAATAATTTTTTTTCACCTGAAAACCAGCCCTATACTGTGGGTAATAAAACCTTATTAAGGTGCTTTATGTTTGGCATGTGTTGTTTTTTTTTAACAAAACTTGATTTTCCTAAATTCCTAAATAAAAACTACATAGGTTTCATGTTTACATACAATAGTTATATAACTATTTTTTTAATAAGGCAACAAAATCCCTGACATTGTTTAACCTTTTATCAGAAATATATCTATTCATTATAATTAGGGATATATATATATTTTAAAAAAGGATTAAAAATTGAAGAAATGAATAAAAATTTTCTTCTGATTAGTTGTAAACTATGAATATCTTTTAAAAGATCACACCTGGTCACAGAGTAATAAGTTTTAAATAACATCCATTGAAAATTACAACATCCCGTTAAACTTAAATAACAAGGCCTTTTGAATTCACTAGATAAGTAATACACGAGTATAAGAAAAATAGGGTTTTCTTTTTACCTGTAAAACACACCTGTACAAAGGTAATTAAACCTTATTAAAGTGCTTCTTGTATGCCAAGTCTTTAATTTTGACAAAACATATTTAAATTTAATTAAAATAAATGTTTACTGCAACTTTGGAATACATTTTCTTTTTTAAAAGGTTATCAAGGATTGCTATGAAAGTTTTATTATTATTATTATTATTATATTAAATTCTTGGTTTTACAAAACAAAGGTGTCAATGTTAACATTTATTAAGTTGCTTTATATACTATTTTATATATATTTTGATAAAAAAAAATTGAATAACATTTAAGATATTTGCTTAATGGTTGAAAGTTCTAGTATTTTTGATGTACATAAAGCAATGTGAACATGATGTCATGCATATAAAAATTCATTTAACGAAAAATTAATTTATTACATGATATTTTTTTTTAATCCAACCAGAAACTACTTTCTTTGATCATCTTGTTTTATTTTTATTTTGAATGTGATATACATTGTATATATATATATATATATATGTATAACAATTCCTGAATTGATGAAATACAATCGGTAGACACAAAAAACAGGTCTAGGTTGGATAAGACTTGGTCGAGTATGGTTCAGACTAGGTCGAGTATGGTTTAGACTAGGTCGAGCATGGTTCAGACTTGGTCGAGAATGATTAAGACTATGTCGAGTATGGTTGAGACTCGTATATAGATAAAGGAAGATGTGGTATGAGTGCCAATGAGACAACTCTCCATCCAAGTTACAATTTATAAAAGTAAACCATTATAGGTCAAGGTACGGCCTTCAACACGGAGCATTGGCTCACACCGAACTGCAAGCTATACAGGGCTACAAAAAATTACTAGTGTAAAACCTTTCAAACGGAAAAACCAACGGTCTAATCTATATAAAAACGAGAAACACGTATGAACTACATAAACAGACGACAACTACTGTAATCAGATTTCTGACTTAGGACAGTCAAAATACATATTTCGCAAATTTAATTACTTGTCAAAAGCTGTATTAGATCATCTCTCTTTGGCGTCCGTCCGTCCCCGATATACATACAGAAATAGGTTGTATCTGTAATTGTTAAAGCTGTATAGTTTTTTTTTTATAATTCTTTATTTTGTATTTCTCCAACTAATATAATAATTATATGCATTTTTTCTATTAAAGAAGAATACAATACAATGTTTATAATTATTGACGTATAGTTATAATTGACATTTCTTCATAGATCTAAACTGTTTCAATATAAAAATAAGGAGATGTGGTATGATTGCCAATGAGACAACTATCCACCAAAGTTCAAATGAAGTGAATGTAAGCAATTATAGGCAACCGTACGACCTTCAACAATGAGAAAAACCCATACCGTATGGTCGGCTATATAGGGCCCCAACATGAAAAATATGAAACAATTCAATTGAGAAAACTAACGGCCTAATTTATAAAAAAACAATTTACGAAAAACAAATATGACAGACATGAACCAACGACAACCACTGAATTACAGGCTCCTGACTTGGGACAGGCACAATAAGAATGTGGCGGGGTTAGACATGTTTGTGAGCGCTCAACCCTCCCCTAACCTGGGACAGTGGTGTAACATTATAACATAAGAACAAACTATAAAAATCAGTGGACGTGGACGTATACATCCCAAAAACAAAAAGACACTAAGTACAGATCTGAGAGTACTCGCTGTTATTGACAGCTAGTTCAAAGCCAATAACAACTAATGAAAAAATCATGTATCTAAGACAAAAATATCAATCAGTACACATCCAACATCCAATGGATTTAGTATAAAAACGCCATTAACAGTCAGAGAAAAACATGACCTTGTGCAATGCCAAACTATAGGTATCGACAGATTGCAGTACCGTGAAAGTACATATGTGTAATATTTAGTATGGTTTTAATTTACTGAAAACAAAATCAATATTTATACCAATAAAAACAATATTCAAAGATTTAATTACAGTCATGAATAGGTAACCTTTTAGAATAAGTTTATTCAAAGGATTGATAAGTTTACACGGATCGTTTCTAAATTTCCGGGCTCGGTTTACAACATCAAAATTTAGGATGTGCTATACCGTTTGAAATAAGTTTTCTACAGGTACAGACAAACTTGCAGAACAAATCTTTGTATCTATGGAAGAATTTAGTAAAGTTTTTAAGTAATTTGTGGTAACGAAATCTCTTACTTAATAATTTACTAGTAATACATAGATTACGCTAATTGAAAACCAAAACGTCACTACAGACACGAGCATAGCGAAGGAATAGGGATATATAAACACTGTAAGACGGTGTCAAAGGAACATCACCGTCCAAAAAGCGAAAATTAACAATAGGGAAAGAAAAGTCATCCCTTTTGTCGTAAATTTTTGTGTAGAGCTTCTGGTGCAATACTGAAATATCAGAATTGAAAACAACGTTCAAACCTATGATTGTGTTGGATAAAAATCGCATTTTATATACGTGTGCATGCAAAACAAATTTCTTGGTAGAGGGGTCTAAATACAGCACAAACAACATTTTTCAAAAAGACCAAAAGAGTGAAAAAGTATATTTTAACAAAACGCATTTGACTAGCAGGTCGAACAATGGATGTTCTTAAACCCTGCTGACTGCAATGGCGATTGCCAAATAAACGGATCACCAGATGTAACAAAATGGATCTTAATATTTTTTAATTTAATACCAAACAGAAAACAATAATATACATTTAGTTAAGTACCATGTAGTATAGATTTTAATTCTTAAATCTTCAGAGAAAAGCGCATTTACTCAACTTTCAGAATCGTCAGCCTTTTTCCGCCAAATTGTGTGCAATTCTTTTTATCCATGATAAAGATTCATGGTTTGTTTTAAAGTATATTCTCACATCTGAATGCGTCATATATCTCTTTTAAAGATAGTAGTTGTTCCTCAGGAAGGCCGTCCAATATCTTAAGTTAAAGTTAGGACGCCTTTTTTCAGACAGTATGCCGATCAATTAAACCACGTGATCAAGTTAGCCACTAGCTGTAATAATCGAACGTTAAAGACCTTTAAAAGTTTTATTGTGTTTCTATTGGTTATTAAAGCACAAGGTTCCGGCGTTGTTCATGAGTGAAATATCTAGGGCATCTAGACATGGCCGTTCAAGGAAGTTTTTTAATTTCAATTGGTAAATATGCCACTTTAATTACTTGTCTTTTGAAAATTAGTGAAGGGTGTCTTATCATTCAATTTGGTTCATTCCACGTGTAAAGAAATAAATGCAAATTATTACAAGACATAGCTACTCTAGCAAACGTTGAAAGAATAGTCATGGTTAAGTAGAGACGTAGACAACTTTTTTACAGTTAGGATTGTTTTTTGTTATTAGGGAATAAACTTAGTTTTAGAGTTATTTTCCAACTTGTGCGTTCCCATTTTATTTTAAATGATTTTTTAATGTTTACCTTTTAAAACTGTCACACATCAGGTTATCGAATGACTTGTTGTTAATATACAAAACATCTGTCAGGATATTTCAGATCAGTTGATCAGGTTTGTATGAATACACATGTAGCTATTCTTTCGAGATGACATGAGTACGTTACTCGGTTCGCTGCCTCATAAACACAGAAATAATATCGCAAAACTATAGAATTTACTCGTGCAAAAAATTAAAATCACTTCATGTGAACTGTCAAATGACTAATTGTTTCACACAGCCCATGCAGTTAATTGATACATTAAGAAATGAATGAACACAGAACTCAAAATGAAAATATCGCCAAGATATTTTCACTTAAGGTTTCCAAAATGTAATGTTCTCTTCAAAATAAAAAAAAACCTGAAAAAATCTAATAAATCTTAAGCTTTGATCGATATGAATAGAATTTGTTTCATTGGGAAATATAACTTAAGATAAAAAGATGTAGTATAATTGCAAATCAGACTACTCTCCACCAGAGAACAAATGACATAGAAGTTAACAACTATAGGTCATTGTACGGCCTTCAACAATGAACAAAACCGGGTCCCATACCGCAAAGTCAGCTATAAGAAGCCCCGAAATGACAATGTAAAACAATTCAAACGAGAAAACTAACGACCTGAATTATGTAATAAACAATGAACGAAATACAAATATGAACTTTGTCCACGGAGAAAAGATTTGATATGCGGGAATACCGCAAAATCCATTGGCGCTAAGTCAGGGGTATACGGAGGATGTTTCAGACATTCGAATCCAAATAAATCAATTTCTAGATTAGTTTTTAGAGAAGTGTTGACCGGTGTATTGTCTTGGTGTAATATCACTTGCTCTATGTTGGCTGCTAAATAAGGGCGTTTCTTTCTCAAAGCTTGAACCAAATCTCGCCTCAGTACCTGAAAGTATAAAAAACGGACTTTTAATCGTATTGCATCTAAATTAAAATAAGATTGATATTTTATTTTTTATTCTTTGATAAATACCTCTTTAAACTGTTTATTTCATTTTATTTAGGTTTTAATTATTAATATAAGATCATTCATTATTTTTAAAAGCAAATATTATGTTAAATACCTTGGAGAAGTATTCAGAATTAACAGTCTGGCCACGGGGTACAGAATGTGTCAGTAACATTCCTTTTCGGTCCGTGAAGAGAATGAACATATTCTTTCCCATTGATTTGGTTATCTTTGCCTTCTTTGGTGGCGGTGAGTTACAGCTTTTCCACTGACTTGAGTGTTGTTTAGTTTCCGGATCGTAGTAATGAAACCGGCTTTCGTCGGTTGTAATTATTCTGTCTAGAAATCATATGCCACCACGAGAAACTTTTTTAATAAATTGATTTGACAATTCCATTCTTTTTGTTAAATGTTCTGCTGTAAGAAGTCGCGGTACCCATCTAGCACATACTCGATTCATATTTAAATCATTTGCTAAAATGAGGTGCGCTGTAGCCTTAGAAATGTCACATTTGTCTGCAACTTCGCGAACTGTTAGTCGCCGGTCACTGTTGATAACGTTCAGAACTTCATCTTTTATCGTATCTGATTCCCTGAAAGATGGCCTACCTTCCCGCTCATCGTCTTCCAAATTGTCTCTTCCGTCCCCAAACCTTTTGTGCCATTTGAATACCAATGAACGACTAACTTTGCTATGTTTCTCAGACTGTTTTAAGAATTTTTGTGTTTCTGTTGGCGTTTTTCCGATGTCTACACAAAACTTTATAACCGCCCGCTGCTCCACCTTTTCCGTAAATTTCCTTTTTTTTCAGTGATGCCGATTCTGGATTCAAAGCTTCAAATCGAGATTTCTTCGCCATTTCGAAATTTTGACCATTCAAATTTAGCAGGTGTAACGTCAAGACTATTATCGACGTCACAATGTAAGTTTCATGTATTTTTTGGCGGATTTTGAAACTTTAAATAACAAAAATATGAAAACACCAGCCTGCATGTTATGTGATATTTTCGCCGTGCTCCGGGTCCCTATTGCTTATATTTATATGAAGTAAGTGTTATTATTTCGCATTTAAAATTGGACAAATATTGATATAACCGAACTAGGATATAGTTCAGGATTACAAATATGCAAAAAGAATTTACCGGAAATGCTATTTTTACGCAGACTTCAGCTTGTCCACGAACTTTACGGACAACCCTCGTATATATATATATATATATAAACCATTCATAATGCAGTTGTCATAAAGTTCTATCAGTTGTTTCTTTTGAGCAGCGTCGTAATTTGATGACCCTTACTAAGTATTCAAGAAGTTTAATGTACCTACATATTATATTTTAAACATGCCGTAAAAAATCATATGTTCAAATTTCTATGAATATAACCTATTTCTAGGGTTTTGCAGATGCAATGCTACATGTATGCTAAAATGGTAATATTTACAACAAATCACAATATCCCGACTGTATTTGAACACGCAAAATAGAAATAAGACATACATGAATAGATTGACTATTCTTTTTTTTCTCACATTTTACTTTGAAATTTGGTAAAACCTTGAAATTCAATATTCTAAAGTTAATACACATTTACCTATTTTCGTTTATTATAAGCCATTAACAACACGCTTAATATTCATCACGGGTGCCAGCTGTCATTCGGTATATCGAGTAAAATTATCGTGAAAGAATAACTAACGGTGATCAAGCATTCCATTGAAACTCAAAGAAACTCACTTCTGTATAAGCTTGTTTTAAATAAGATAACTGGTAAATTTCTTAGAATTGTAGAAAATTTGTATAAAGATGTTAAATCAAGAGTTGTACATAATAATGAAGCATCTGACATGTTTGTAAGTGATATTGGAGTCCGCCAAGGAGAAAATCTTTCTCCTTTATTATTTTCTTTATATTTAAATGATCTTCATGGATTTTTAGAAAATAGCGATTTAAAAGGTATACATTCAATTACTTCTGATATAGAAGATGAACTGGATATTTATTTTAAGATATTTGTCTTATTGTATGCTGACGATTCGATTTTACTCGCTGAGACAAGCACAGATCTGCAATTACTTTTAAATAGTTTTTCTCAATATTGTGAAAAGTGGAAACTTAAAATCAATGTTAACAAGACAAAGGTAATGATATTTTCAAAAGGTAGACCACAGAATAATTTGAAGTTTTATATTAATAACGAAGAGATAGAAATTGTTAAGAAGTATAAATACCTTGGTGTTATATTCTCTAGAAATGCTTCTTTTTTTGCAACTAGAAAATATCTTAAAGATCAAGCTACTAGAGCTATGTATTGTGTTATTAAGAAGTGTAGATCTAACCATCTATCTATAGAATGCCAGCTCGATATGTTTGATAAGCTGTTTTACCTATACTTTTATATGGGGCCGAAATCTGGGGATACGAAAATCTTGACATTTTGGAAAGGGTACATTTGAGTTTTTGTAAACATGTTTTACGGTTAAAAAGATCGACTCCAAATTTTATGGTTTACGGGGAATTGGGAAGATATCCTTTTTCTTTATACGTTAAATTACGGATGATAAAATTTTGGTGTAACCTTCTTGATAACACACTTGATAACAAGATTTCGTCAATGTTATATAAGTTGATATATATTAATTTTAATAAGTATGGAATTGAAAACAAATGGTTGTTATGTATCAAAAGTATTTTTGATAATTGTGGAATGTCAAACATATGGCAAAATCAAGATTGTATCTCAAAAAAATGGATTGTATTAAGCATTGAACAAAAGTTAAAAGATCAGTTTAGACAAGAATGGCTAGCAAATGTAAATCAATCATCAAAAGGTCTATGTTATAAATTATTCAAAACAGAACTTAAATTTGAAAATTATATTTCAATTTTATCGTTAAATAATGCACTGAAACTATGTAAATTTAGATGTGGCAATCACCGTTTGCCAGTGGAGACAGGGAGGTGGCAAAATGTTCAAAGACCCGAGAGACTATGCCACCTTTGTGAATCTACTGACATCGGCGATGAATTCCATTATGTAATGTCTTGTCCTTTTTTCAAAAAAGAACGATATAAATATTTACCACACTATTGTTATACAAATGTTAATATTCTTAAATTTAAAAATGTATTCACTACAGTCAATATTGTCTTACTAGAAAAATTGTGTAGATTTATAAACTATATATCAGTGAAAGTCTGTCCTCCTGGTTAAATTACATTTATTTATGTATATTTCACACATGCAAAATATGTTGTATTTTGTTTATATTTTCATCTCTGTAACTATGTCATTTAGTTAATGAGAATAAAGATCTATCTAACATAACGTTGATCATGAAAGATCTGGTATCGGATCGTGAATGCAATTAAGTGTAATTTTACTTCCAAATCTGTGAAAAATCAACTTTATGAAAAAAATATGTCTGTCAAAATCATTCAACTTCCTTAGTAATACTGTGCACTAGTTTAAAGAAAAATGCAGTACTTTTTAAGAAAACACAAAAGGCGACACACAATTCCATGAGAATCATTAAGAAAAAAATCACATTTTGTATCTGTAATGGTCACATACCAATATATCATGATAAATATTGAAACTTTAATATTTACTGTGTCAGATAGTCCAGTAAAAAGAAGTATGTTATTACTTGAAAAAGTTCATATTATTTTTGAAAAAAATATAACTTTGCTGATTTTTAATCAAAATCATTCATCGCATTATTTTTATCGTGAAAGACAAGGCGTGACCAGACTTAATGATCAGAAAACAACATTTCTTTTACCGATTGATATACTTGTAATTGGTTGAAGCGTGTAATTACTTACTAAGAACGTAACTTAATGCTTTATTTTTTGGGTAATATATAAATATATATACCCATAATTAGACCAGTTTTCATTTAAGAGGCTACATGGAACTAGACATCCAAGATAATAAGACCTCAAGGAGGCGGTGAATTGTCGAAAAGTAAATATCTGTGTAAACTATATATATATATATAATGCTAAATGCTTCCACGAATCAGTGAAGCGAGAGGGGGTCTGGTGGTCTTCCCCTGGAAAAATCTTAATGTAAAATTGAGAATGGAAATGGGGAATGTGTCAAGGAGACAACAACCCGATCAAAAAGCAGAAAACAGCCGAAGGCCACCAATGGTAATGTGTACGTCTTTGTTTTCGTAAGGGTTATATCAAAGAAGCTATACAACATTTAATTTTACATACAGATGTACTGAAGATGTTTTTTCCATTAACTTTAAAAGCTTTTCTGATTGGGTCCCAGTAGTAGTCCTGAACTAGAGATTACAGACACCACATGTACTCGATCGGCGTCATGTTTAGACATATACCCCGAATTTGACAACAGCGTTCATCTCAATACCAGAGTATATGACAAACGAGATGATTTAAATTTTGAAATTATAAATTTTCTTCACCCTAGCAGCGATTTACCAACTTCATCCGCGTATGGAGTATACATTTCTCAACTTATACGATTTTAAGGAGCTTGCAGCTGTTACTCGGAGTTTGTAAATCGTTATCAGTGCCGGAGCCAAAAAATAATG